CAAATGTCGTCGTCATCGTCGCTGTCCAAACCCCTCCCGACCCTCCCGCTGGGCAAAGACGGCCCCTCCATCCCCGCCATGGGCATCGGGATGATGTCGCTGGGCCACGCGTACGGGTCCGCGGGCGGGGACGAGGAACGCCTTGCTTTCTTGGATGCCGTGTACGCCCTGGGCGCGACGCACTGGGACGACGCCGACCTGTACGGCGACACCGAGACGCTTCTGGGAAAGTGGTTCCGCGCGAACCCGGACAAGCGCGACGACGTGTTCGTGACGACAAAGTTCGGCTTCGCCGGCCAGGACGCCAGCGGCGCGTACATCATCCGCAGCGACCCCGAACACATCCGCGCCGCGTGCGCCGCCAGCCTGGAGAAGCTGCAGTCCGGCTGGATCGACCTGTACTACTGCCACCGTGTGGATGGGAAGACGCCCATTGAGGAGACGGTCAGGGCCATGGTGGAATTGAAAAAGTATGTGTTTCCCCTCAAACCCTTTTTTCCCCCTAATTCCACTCCTTGTTTCCCTGGTTTTTGGTTGTCGATCGTTGTCCGTATCCCTCAACGGGAAGAAAAAAAAAAGAACCCAGGGATATATGCTAATGACCAAATCTCCGTGCCAAAAAAAAAGTCAAGGCAAAATCCGCCACATCGGCCTCAGCGAAGTCTCGGCCTCGACCCTGCGGCGCGCCTACAAGGTCCACCCCATCGCGGCGCTGCAGATCGAATACTCGCCGTGGGCGCTGGAGATCGAGAGCAACGGCGTGCTCGAGGCGTGCAAGGAACTGGGCGTCGCCGTGGTGGCCTACTCGCCTCTGGGCCGGGGGTTCTTGACCGGCACCATCAAGTCGCCCGCCGACGTGCAGGGCGACTTCCGGGGGATGCTGCCGCGGTTCCAGCCCGAGAACTTTGACAAGAACCTGACGCTGGTGAAGCGCATCGAGCAGCTCGCCGCCGCAAAGGGCGTCACCACCAGCCAGCTCGTCCTGGCCTGGCTGCGCCGCCAGTGGCCCCAGGGCATCCACCTCCTCCCCGGCACGCGCAGCGTGAATCGCGTCAAGGAGAACCTCGCGGCCCTGTACGTCGAGCTCACCGACGACGAGGACCGCGCCATCCGCGCCGCGTGCCAGGAATGCGTCGCCATCGGCACCCGGTACCCCGAGGCCATGGAGTACGCGCAATTGGGGGAGACGCCGGAATTGGGGAAATGAAAAATCGTTGAGAGAGTCTGAGCAATTCGACATGAAGGGAGGTAGGAGATGGTGAGGTGAGGACGGCGGAGAGAGGTCCAAGGAGAACGATGGACGATATGAAGGACGATATAACATGACATGACAAGACCAGACAGACAATATGATATAATATGATATGATATGAAATGGAAAGAAGAATAGGGTCACTAGTTTAGGTTTTCTGGGGTTCCACGAATTGCGAATGAAAATGCATACCTAGGCGATATGCCATATACGTGCCTGTCTATGATAGAGGACATGTTTAGTCCTATATCTACGGAGGATTCTGTACGTGTACCTTCATAGATAGTCAGGTTTACGGTCCCTAATATCTCACACTATATGTGTGTATCACGTCGTTTCATGTCACATCGTAACCCACGTCGGATCATATCATATCAACGTACCATATTATGACGTTGCTCTTTCCCCATCATGACAGGGGACGACGAATGCGATTCGAATCGATCATTAATATCCCTCCCTCTACGGACAGAAAAAATATCTTCTCCTGAAAAATACCACTGGTATTCATTTTCCCTGGCCCTGATCAGCCTTGCCATGCCATGCCATGCCCTTTTCTCGTATCTCGTGTCCCATATCCCGTATTCCATATCTCATATCTCGTTGCGCTCATTTCCACACGCCTTTCCCATAGCACAAATAACAAAAGGTACCGCAACTTTTGAAACCGAACAAGCCTTCCGTCGCACAGAAACAAGGATCCTTCTCAGGAGAAGCCATGGATGGGAAGGATGGGTCCAAATCTTCACCTCTTATCCCGTCTCCGCGAAGACAAAAATTCCAGGGAAAAACTCCCCGAGACGCGGTCGGGTTGGTTGTCGATAACTCCAGAAACCTTCCCTCCCTGTTGGTGTTCAAGTGGCGGTAGCCTACGGATTTCTGTTGGAACCCATACCAATTCGCCTTTTGATGCTCGCCTGAACTCCCGTGGTACTAGACCTTTGATACGTCTTCCTGTTCTGCCTCGACCCATTCTCCTCGACAAAGCAGATTGGAGAGTTGACCATAGATATCCCTGCATCCCACCTCCTGAACACTCTGAGCCTTCTTCTCCTGTGAAGCACTGCTGTTAATAGTCCCAGTGCTAGGTCTGGTGACTTGCTTTTCTGTCGACATATTGGCGGCATTCAACTCGGTCAGCGTCTGTCCCTTGGCCCTCTTCCGCGTAACCCCCATATTCAGTGCAACTCGGGCTTCTTCAGAGACGATGTCGAGGGTGTTGAACCGATATGTCTGCCACTTGCGCACAGAGAGGTGCTTCTGGAAGAACAGCTCGATCTCCAAGTGGCTCCGTCCGGTTGTCTCACCCACACAGAACCACACATACGCAAGCGTTATGCATGTAGTCCCGGCGTACACGAAGCCCAACATGGGACCCAATCCACCGTTGTAGTAGATATACGGGCTTGTAAAGGCGATCACCCATACCGTGAAAAAGAACGAGACAATCGACGAGCTCATGATCTTGTTGCGGTTGCGTCCCACGGCCATCTCAGTCGCGATAGTGAATGCCAGCGGACCGTGACCAAAGTTGAACGCCACAATGACAATGTATGAGATGACCACGATCGTTGTGCTAAAACTAGTCTTTGTGTATGGTCCAGCTCCGAGCCCTCCGATGATGAGATATGCCACAATCATCATGATAGTCGTGACCAGGAGGTTCGAGCGACGCCGTACTTTATTGCCAAGCAGGACCGACATGCCCACCGCAATGACCTGGAGCGTATTGGTGATGACAGAAATCGTAAAGGCTTGCTTGATGCCGATCGACTGGGCAAATACAACACCATACGAGTAGAAAAACTGAATGCCGTTGATCTGTTGCGCCACCATTGCACCGCATGAGTAGATGAGCTTTCGTCGTTCAATGGGGTCTTTCAGCAGTGACGTCCACGATGTCGTTGCTTCTCGAAGTCGTTCGGTCTCGACCATGTCAATTAAGGCTGCGACATCGTCGTCTGGTGTGTATCCTGGTATGCTTCGGTTGATCTTCATGAGCGCTTTGGCGGCTTCCTCCGATTGACCTCGTCGAATGTACCAGACCGGAGATTCGGGGATGAAGATCAGCCCCACGAGCATCACCAGCGGCAGCAAAGCCAGCAACCCCATGGGAATACGGTATGAAGCAGTGGTGCTGATAGATTCCGTACCCTGCGTGATCCCTGAGCCGACAAGTTGAGAGCACGACTGCATGAATTGAAACATCATCAGAGCCGGACCTCGAATGGCTTGCGGTGCAACCTCCCCAATATACAGGAGGCATGTCACTGTAAACTGACCAATCCCGAGACCGATCAGTATCCGACCCAGGCAGATGACTCCCATGGAGCCCTGGTCGGCACATTGCGTGATGGCACCGGCAATGATACAAATCGAAGCACAAAGAAAGACGCCATTTCTGCCAAAGAAGTCATTGATCGGAGCGGCGAGGAGGGCACCGATAAGTTCTCCCACGTAAATGATCGAGGCCGTGAGGGACAGAAAGGTAGTGGTCAAGGCAATGCCTCCCTCCTTATCATGGGTGGTGCCATAGTCGTGCACAAATCTTTTCATCCCCAAGATTCCAGTGTAGTAGATCTGGTCGTACCCAAAACAAAGTGCACCAAGGCTGGAGACAGCACAGAAGAAGATGGCCCATCTGTGATGCCCCCAATTGATGTCGAACAACTGCATCTTCATCATGGCATCTTCGGTTTCCAGCTGCCGTGCAAACAATTGTCCGAGACATGGAGATAATATAGAGGGTTGTCAATCTGATACTTGTGCAAAAGGAACTGGTGCAAGCGGGACCATTCAATGTCTATCATGATAGGTAGCAATACCTCGGTGCTTTGACCCAGGATGGTAAAGACCATGGGTGGTGGTTAGCACTCACCCAACTTAGGTGTCTGCCGCCGGTCATGGCCTAGACTGCAGAGATTTTGGTAACGGGTAGTGGCGTCACCCACAGCAAGGATGTTTTGAGTTCGGATGGTGAAGGACGGTTGATACAGGCGTTGATAGGTCCTAGGAATCTCCGAGCTAGACGCAACTTGGCTGAATAGGGGGCCTGACCTGGACTTGCAGGGCTTTGGGGATTCGCCTAGTATACCCTAGGATTGCCCCTCTGGCCAGACCCGCCGACGAACGGACACAACGGAATGAAGAATGGCTGACAGGGGCCCCACAGGTATGTATTCCAAGCTTGCCTCTATGAGAGATGGCGACTAGCTGGTGGTGATGGTGGAACAGGCACAGGACGCATGGCGCTGCCGCTTTGAAATTGCGAGGAGACCGTAACATCTGGGTCCAGCTCGCCGGACATCGTTGTCCAAGAGAAGCATCAGTGTTGCCTCACTCTTGACTCCTCTATGGCCTGATCGCATCTCGAATGAATAATGTTGATGAGAAACACGGCCAAGCGGGACTCTTTTGAGGTCACTGGGTTCGGTCCCTCCCACATCGATGTAGGCTTCTCTGATCTGTCATGTCACCATCTCGTCCACTCTCACTCGCAGACAGCTTGGACTGTCCACCTTCATATTTCGCGCCAAACACCATAGAATGGGTCCTCTATCAGCCTGAGCAAAATTTGCTTGCTGTCGGGGAAGGATGGAAGCTCCGAGAACAACAACCGAACACATCCAGTCGTGTACGAAGTATGTTGCCATATGTGTTGCCCTTCTCTCAGTATACGAGTACAAACTCCGGAATGCACCTGTTGGTAGACCTCCAATCGGGCCGACTGAATTCTCCGAGTGATTCTCTCGTCATTCGCCGATGGGAAATTTGCTCTCTTGCCCGAAGACCCTGGGAACAAAAGTCCGTGTGCTGTCGGCATATGGTTCGATATCCAGCGAGCCAGATAGCACCACCATAGTTCCGCTCTGTATCTGTTGAGCCAACAATCTCCTAAAGCTACGAGGCGTAAACCTCACAAGAACAGCCTCCGATCGATCTCTGTTCCTGAAACTTGAGCTTGAGTTGGTTTGACAGGTCCAACAAGGCTTCTAACGCGAACGTCGTTATAAATACAGGAAGGATGCCTTACATCATTGGGCTTAATAGTGGTTCCTCTTTCGACGGAATCGACGCTGTGCTGTGTAGTGTCGATATTGCCTCAGATGGCCATCCGAGTCGCCCAAGGTATATACACGGCATCTCGGAACCGTGGCCGGAGGAGTTGCAGGCCGATATTTTGCGGGCTTTCTCCAATGATCTCCCAGTGTTTGACCTCTGCAGGCTAAACTATGCTGCAGGTGCTGCCTATGCCGAGATAACCAAGAAGTTGCTCGACAAGGTGGGAATGAGACCAGAAGATGTTGATGTTGTCGGTTATGACGGCCAAACAGTCTACCAAGAGCCTCCCGACAGAGACAGGCAACGAGAATATGTTGCAAGCGCGAGCCAAAGCCTGGTTGAGCGATGGACAAAGGGCGGATTTGCATGCGGTCTATTCATCGTCGAGTCAGGTGTTGTCACAGCTCTGACGAATATCACAACTGTCACCCAGTTCCGCCCGATTGACCATGCATTGGGAGGCTCAGGGGCTCCGCTCATGCAATACCTCGATTTCTGCGCATTCCGCCATGAAGGGCCCGTTGTTTCATTGAATATCGGTGGCATTGCCAATCTGCAGCTTGCTGCTGCAGAACGGCAGAAGATGATGGCATTCGACACTGGTCCGGGCAACGTTATGATAGACCATGTGATGAAAGTTCGAGAAGGCAAGCCATATGATGCTGAGGGTGCATTGGCAGCCAGAGGCCAAGTGATTCCCACGCTTTTGGAGAGGCTTGAAGGTCACCAGTTCTTCCTCCGGAATCCACCTCGTTCGGCATGGCGCCTGGACTTCGGGGGCCAGCATGTGGACACAATCCTGCACGACTACAGAACTGCATCGACCGAGGATCTGTTGTCGACTCTTACACTTTTCACGGCAAAGGCCATCGAGCGATCGCTGGTTGAATTCATTCTGCCCAAAGCGGCTGTAAAGACGGTCATTGCCAGTGGAGGTGGTACCAAGAACGATACACTCATGAGGCACCTAAAGGGGATGCTGGCCCTACACGGTGTAGACCTTCGCGTCAGCGATGAATATGGGCTTCCTGCCCCATTCAAGGAAGCCATCAAGTTTGCAATCTTGGCATTTGCGTGCAAACAGGGGCTGGCCAACAATATTCCCGCGGCTGGCGGAGCCTCCTCCTTTGCTGTCCTGGGCAAACTGAGCTTGGCACCTAGACTAGCAAAGAACGGTGGTGTCATCTCAGAAAGTGACATCCGTCCGGGGAATGCATTGGATGAGAGCTGACCTGCTGGAGGAGTTGGCGATCAACACAATCGGGAAATACTCCCTGATGGTACCGGGATGCCGTATAATTTAGATTAAAGTAACGAAGCGCTAGCTCTGGTGGCCGACCTGGCTCTTGTGGCTCGCGACAGAGTAGACAGGTGAAGCCACACAGCCATTGCCCGTCCATGGAGTGGGTGGCGTACTCCTCTTAAAGTTTTGTCGAATGTTTCTAAGGATGTCCAACGATTCGCGAATATTGGCAGGCCTGTTCAAGCCTTTCTCAAGCACAACTTCGGCAAGGTCAAGTAAGTGATCCGGATCTCCATAGCCTTGTAGAAGGATTGAGATCGCCGATGTCTGAACCTGAAGGATGGTTGCATATGCGGCGACAAGGTGCTGGAGATTGCACCAACTCTCCAAATATTCGTGGCGGCCGGTTTGCTGTCTTCTTGAGTGCAGAAGAATAATCATGGTCGCGTTCTGCACGCAGTTGTGGCAAGACTCGAACACCCACGAATCCTGGATCGGATCGTATCCAGGAGGATCAGGGTTGGAGGAGTTGACCGCGTTTTCATATTTCACGTGCAGCACGTGGTACAATATAGGGCGATTGACAAGGAATATAGTTGCGTAGTATCGAAAACTCAACTCGTCCTGGAAACATGAGAATCGTGCGTGGCAGAAAAGGATTCTTGGCTTACCATGATGTGCGACATATCTTCGGAGGCCAAACAGAAAGACGACGGGTGTCGAGGAAATCTCATAGTCAGGGGAAGGGTCCAGTACCACAGATCCAGACGCCGGGCAATATCGGTAACAACCGCCGCAACATGTCTTGGGCGGCAATAGGCTCGATCGATGTTGTACATGTGTTCTAGAATGGTGTTCATATAGGCCCTGAGCTGCAAGTGTGCCTGGAGCTCCCGGGAATGATGATTCTCGACCGACGTCGCACTTTGTGCGTTCGTAAATACATTTGGAAAGGTGACTGCCATGTCTTGAGTGAGGGCAGTGACAATGATGGCATGCAGGCGCTCTGACGGTACTCCATCCACTTCGCTCAGGATATCGCTGGCCGACATTAGAACGCAACCATAACGACGATCAGTTTGGGAATACCTTTCTAGGAGATAATACTGATATAGGCAAGCTTCATATTGGAGTTTGGCAGCACTGCAGACGTAGTCAGTGATGTACTTAACAAGCTTTCGAACGGACCCTTACAAGCCATCGTCAGGTTTAGGGGCGGTATTATAGACAAGGGGTTCAATATTTTGTAGGATGCCCAAGGCATGATATGGTCTTCCATACAAGTAGAGCAGCATGATGACAAACAAGAACCTAAAGGGCAGTGCCTGCGGGCTTTGATGAGCTTGCACCACCCACATCTGTTTGAAGAGCATGCCGGAAGGAGAGATCTGCTTTGTCACCCAGCACCGTCTCCCTTGCGATGATGGCTATGTGTTTGAGAGCAATGGCTTGCACGAGGAGCTCCTCGATAGATTGCGTCTTGAAGGCGAGGATGACGTCGTGCCCGGGTGAAGCATGTAAATGTCGATTAAACAAGTCGAGACACACTTCTTTCGCCAGTCCTCCAGACAAAAAGAGATGCCTAAGGACGAAAGGCAGATTGTCCATGATTGCAAACATGGACTCGATACCTTTGACCACGACGGAAGCAGAAATCTCTGCGGCAACTGAGGTTTCGAAACCTGCGCTGAAGAGACCTGTGTCGTTGTCGTCTACTCGGCCGACGTATTCAAGAGGCTCCAAACCGGGGATATCAAGGTTGAGCCGAAGGTTTGTCCAGTAGTTGAACATTTTGTGTGCGGCAGCGTGGTGGAACTGTGGCACTTGTGGCCAAAGCTTGATAACGGAAGTCTCTTGAGCAGGAGAAGCCGCAAGTGCACAATCTGTGCGACCATGGTCAAGGGCTTGTAGCCGCGTCTCAATGTGTGTGAGACGAACCAGGAGAGATGCATCACTTGGGATTCGGGTCAGTGTAACAGTCCTCTCTTCAAGCAGCGATCGGCGAGGCTACCTACGTTTCCAGGCTGACCAAAGGAGGACGATAGACGCATTCCAGCTGCGTGGATACACAATGGGAACATGAAGGACGGCCGCCATCACATCGAGACTTTCTCTTTCGACACGTGTCACAAGCCAACTCTGTCTTGTTGCGTTTTGGACGACTGTTGCGGTCCGGCACAGACTCTCGAGGCATCTTGGACACAAGACAAAAGGCAAAGGAAGCACGTTAAAAGCGCGCTGGCAAAGAGGCGGCGTTTGCGGTCATATTTGGTCCTTTTGATCAGAAGAAAGCAGGGCTTGAGCGACAAGCATATAGCTGTTTGTAGGAATCGCAAGCGATTGCAGAGTCCAACAGCCAAAACGGGAGGTTAGTTGATGGTGCAGAGTGGATGGACGGGGAATGCCTGTCCGGCAGATGGTGCGAGGCTTCCGACCTGGGTCTCCAAACGGCCGAGATGTGAGGCAACCCGGGGTCATGGTGCTGGAAAGAGAGAGGATGGCGTGTCCATAATCGACGAGTGGATGGAAACGGGTAACTCTCGGCGAGTGCGAAGCCCTCTGGTGGGTGCGTGTCGTGCATGGTCGAGGTCGAAAGTTTCAAAATGGTGGGACGAGGCGCAGGGATTTTGTGATGCGCCGTAGAATTGAGTGCGGTTTTACGGTGGATCATTGTGCTAGCGCCACAAATCTGCCATACTCTCTGCTCCATGCTTGCGCCATCCTGCGCCCTCATGCAACCTCCTCCCACATTCATCCACTTCACTGGTCATTGACACCCCTTCTGCAGTTGCTTTTCAATACATTTCACTACCTGTCACTTTCTGTCGTATCTGTTCCCCGCAAGCCCTGGCTCTTCCTTGTGCTCGATGTATCGTTCATCAGCTGTGGTAGGGCGGCTGAGCTCGTGTCCTGGATTCATGCGCCAATTGTTTGAGTTTGTTCCAAAGCCACCTGAACTGCGTTAGCCTGACACCAGTTCCTTGCATGCCTTCCCAGTCCTTGTAGCACCATCGGCCAGCATACCCGCGCCATTGAGATTTTCAATTGATGATTGTCCTAACGATTCTCGGTCAGTGACATTTGATCGTCTGTTAGTGCGGTCTAGACCAACCTTATCATCAGACAGAATAACATTTCGGCCTCCTCCGTGCGTAAACTCAAGGTGTCTCCAGTTTGACGCCAGAGGGTCAAGACTGAGGCAGCAGTAGTGCGGTGCCAAATTAACGGGACGCCTAGTGCGGGTCAATCATTGGGGTGAAGTGTCACACTTACATAAGTGACAACCACAGCTTGCAGAGATCAACACGAAAGAATGTGGTGCAATAAGAGGGGCCTTGGTAGTTGTTTCACCATCAATCGCCACTATTTCCCTGCTTTCCGGACTGGGATTCAAGACCTAATACTGAATTCGGGGTCGGTCTAGATCAGACATCACATCAACCTGAGCTCTTTACGTGCCAAAAAGAGTGCCGATGTTGGAACAACTCTGGGCAGGAATACGCAGACGATGTTGCATCGCTGGTATTTCCCGGAAAACACGGACGACACGAAACCGAAGAAGCCACTCAGAAAACCGGGATACCTAAAGACAAGGGGACGTAGGTATCAATTCCGAATATATCGCCTTGCATGAAGCCGAGAACACCTTCAATTAGGTAATTGGCGAGGCGAGTATTTCTGGATCCCAACCCTTTCTCGGTCCACGGATGGGTGTGTGCCATACATTTGCTCGTACTTCTCGCCCATCCACACAAGGCCCTAGGGCGGTCGCTTTCAACTATAGCTGACCGACTATCAACTCAGTGTTCTACAAGGTGTATTGAGTTTTCGAACATGACGTTCCCATATCGAAGTAAAAGTTGGCTGTCCCTTTTTGTGGTACTATTACAACCCAGTGGTGCATCTGCGAGTCAAGCTGATCCGGATACCGACTGTGCTACCTTCCGCACGATTCAAGCGATCATTATTGATTGAAAATTGCCACCTTGAAGAAGCATTCATGCTGATCCTGACCTGACTTTTGGTGGCACGAGGCGGGTGAGTGAGTATGGTCAAATTTGCACAAGATTGATTGCAGGGGTCGACCAGCTAGCCGCGCCACATCCTTGCGGCCCCGGTGTTTCGTTATGATGCCCATGCTACTCTCCGAGTCTCGCTATATCCATCCAGTTCCTTCGAATCAGCAACGAATCTACAAAAGATTCATCCTCGTGGCCTGTATGGTCGAATGGAGCTTTAGGCCGTACAGAATCCTTGAGATACACCCGACGCTCTTGATTATCGGTCGACCTACGTACCAAGCGCAACTTTTGGAGCTGAGAACAATACCTTTGGGTCGAAGAACAACCGCGGGAATTCAAAGGGGTGATATTGAAATGTCGACGTCGAAGTTGATGCCACTTGCAATGAAAACACAATACCGTCAATACAGAGACTGAACTTTCTTGCACAAGTTTCAAAAGTGGTGCCGACACGACTGGATGGCATCTCATACATACCTGAGTCGGTCAATAGTATCGAGGTGTCCCCGGCACTTGATATGCACACTCGATGCGAAAAGCGCCGGGGGTAGGTCAACCAGGAAATAGTGAATTGAGGGCATCTGTCAACAGATATGCGAGCACGGTTGTCGTTGTCCTCGTTCCGACGATATCACCCGAACCCCTATACCCCGATGTTAGTATTGGCTCTGGGGTCGATCTTGAGCGTGACGCAGCTGAGTCTCGTGGTCTTGCCCAGGATTGAATTTGGAATCATCAACTACTACAAAGATCTTTAAAAGAAAGGACACATGCATGTCCCGCCATTTTGGACATGTCCTCTATGGATTCCTTCAGGATGCTAGTCTCGGGATGAACAGGGAGTTGTTCAAGCCGCCGGCGAGTCTCTCCCTTGTCTACATGTTCCTCCTGTTTCTCATCTTACTTGGAGATTTACGGAGCAGTTGAGAAGTGTCGCTGGGAGATTTTTCGACCAGACTATGAGCCATAATGGCCAAGGACCGCCTCTGAGGCCCAAGATTTCACTTTTGTACGCTTTTCAAGTAATCCTGACACTCACATGTACAGAGTTTTCCTACCACTATGCGACTTTGATGCTTCGTGTGCTGCACTGATAAGATAAGATGGATCTTACGTGCACAAAGTCGCGATACTGGTACTCGCTCATTCGGCACCGACCCGCCGAGTTCCCCACTAAATACCCGCATATACCTCGGCACTACAGTAAGACAGCAAATATATTAGAGTCACCAAAATTGCCCTGAAATCAGGGCGGTGGCATGGTGTAATGGTCAGCATGTATCGTTGTGGTTTGCGCCTGTCTCTCGTTCATCGAGTTGACGCTCAAGGCGTGTCCAGCTCCGATCCGATCCCGGTTCGATTCGTACGTTCATCTATCATAATATTTCTGGAAGAAAATAATTCTAACAGTTCGCAGCGGGTGCCGCCACATTCAGGCGGATAGCGTCCTAATTTTTTTTCTTTCCTTGTACTTGTATGTCACCCTTAGATGAAGTAACCTTGCAACGTAGCTTTATAGGGTAGGTATCTAGTTCCAACCTCACAGTTTTATTACTTTTTAGTTTGTGCGTGGGCGTGTAGTGAACTACGGAGGTGAGAGTCGAGTCTCACTGCAAAAACGTGACTGAATCACTCCTCGAATCTATCTGTTCGAAGCACACGAACGAGAATCGAATCAAATCTTGCAATGCGACCTCTTATTCTACAGTGCTGGTACAGATGCCTGGTATTTTTTTCACTACGACAAGTCCTCCAGGCCCATGGACCTAGACCACTACCTCCAGGTAGATCTAAGTAGATGGGGTTGTCAACGCTACAGCTTCTTTCCTCCTCTATATTTGTTTCTGCTGCGCTGCCATCCTCCAGGGTATATATACTACGGCTATCCTACTTGGTATGGAGCTTGTTCTTTGCTTTGCAGCCGAGAGATTTGTGGGTATTCTCGCGAGCCTTGCTCCGCTCACTCATATGACTTGGTTATGGCCTATTAAGTCCTCGAGAAGATTCTCGCCTGCGCATGTCTTGCTTTGTGCTTGTACGTCGTAGGAATGGAGGTCGGCAGCTCTACGGGGACTTGGTTCGTCCACAAGGGTCAAAGGAAGATTCCTGGGTAAGGCCAAGGACATGTGCGACAAGTCAGTCGGATTGAGGCGGTTCTTTAGTTGACTTGAGAGATTGAAAGATACAACAAGGGTTTTGTATCCTTGAACTCTCCGTGTTTTCTTCGTGTGTGTATATTGCGACTCTTTACGACTGGATGAGAAGACATGGTCGCGTCTTGTTGACACCGGACGTCGTCTTCGAAGGAGGGGAGGGGATTGGTTGATACCGGACCTAGCCTATGTACATAGAGGGTCAAAAAGTAGTCGAGAGGCAACTCACATTCACTAAGAGGTTGGACTGAGAATACTCAATGGTATAAGTTTCTGGATTGTGAAGGAGGGATCGATGACTGCGTGCAAATCTGCGAGACTTGGCAGGTAGATCAAGACCTCGGGTCCCCGCCAGTGTCAATGGTTTCGATCCAACTATTAAGCGGTGTTGGTCCATTACGCTGCATTACGCTGCATCCCGAGAAGAGACAGACGGAACACCCCTGGAATAGCCCAAAATATGCAGCATCTCCCCAACAGAGACTACCCAGGAACGAACACCTTACAGCTTCTGCATCTGTTGACCGTGCACAGAATCTTGGAACAGGATGGGAAACGACATCATCGAACACTGCAAGCCAGATCCTACGTAGTCCGGAAGAGATGAAACAGATTA